CTTGACTGATTATAAACATCTAAATAACCCTCAGCAGAAAAATAGTTCCCCATCCATGAAGGGGCAAAATCAATTTACAAAACTGTTTTGATACTATCAGAAGGGAGATCCTGGAATGTTTCCAGTAGTAAGGGAAACTTATCAAATCAGTTATATAATACCCATCTTTTCCATTTAACATATATAATAAAAACGTCAGTTAACTTTATATTTAGTGTTTGAATTATTTCAGTGAACATTTATTAAAATCTTCATTTTTAAGGGCTTCCATTGAGACATTTGCACCTCACATCTTGTATAATTTCACCATTATCTTAATGTTTTTATTCCCAGATTGTCCTACATATTGTTTGTATTTACATAAAAATTTTTAATTACTACACAATAACCGTAAATATATATGGGATATATCATGTTAATTTAAACTGTGAATACAGTGAAGCATGAACCAATTGAAATAATCAATATCACCTCAAACATTTGTCGTTTCCTCATATAAGAACATTGAAAATTCTTTCTTCTAGATACTTTGCAATGTATATAAAATTGTCTATGAGGTTTTGTTTCTTTATTTGAAAACCCATTTTATTTAAAAATATTTAAAACTTAATTTGAAAGCCCATTTATTTTAGCGAGGGCATGTGGTAGAGACAGAGATCTTCCATTTGCTGGTGTACTCCATAAGTGATCAGTGCTGAGCCAGGCCAGACCCAGCAGCTAGGACCTTCATGCATGTCTCCCACATGAGTGGCAGGGGCCCAAACACCTGAGCCATCTTCTGGTGCTTTTCCTAGGCCATTAGAAGGGCAATGGATTGGAAGTGGAGCAGCTAGAACATAAAGCAGGACACAAACTGGGTACCCATATGGGATAGTGGGGGCAGATTTTCCTACTTAGCCATAATACCAACACCTGTATAACACATTAGTATTAAATATAGCCACCCTGTAGTAGTATAGGAAGCTGCAATCTTGGACTTGTCAGCCAACCTTTTGTAGATGTGTATAAGGGCCTGATGCTTACGATTGAGCTATTACTATATATATATATTTTTTTTGCTGATACTGATTTGTTAAAGTCAATGATATCAGTTTTATATATACAGACAGTTAAACTGATCTTTGCCTTTGGAGTTTATGGTTAACTAATTGAAATAATGTTCATTTCTTCAATGTGAGAGCTTTTCAACTCTAATTTGCCATATTGTTTCTTATCACCCAACCTTTAATTTCATGAAGTCTCTCAAGATTTTGTGTTTTTCAGCACAGTATTACCTTAAATCAGCTTATCCAAAAATGTGATTGATTGGTTCCTTTGCAATTACTCTCGTTTGAAAATATTACAGATATTTGAGAAAATGCTGCAACCACATTTGTAACTGACTATCCCAGTTCTTTTGGATTAGAAATAATTCTTCGCCCAGAGCAGTAGCTCAGTGGTAAAATCCTCACTTTGCATTCACTGGTTTGCCAGTTGGGTGTCGATTTGTATCCCAGCTGCTTCACCTCTCATCCAGCTCACTTCATTTGGCCTGGAAAAGCAGCAGACGATGGCCCACGGTCTTGGGACCCTGCACACGTGTGGGTGACCTGATGGTAAAAGTGCCTGGCTCCTGACTTCAGATCAGCTTAGCTCTGGCTTTTTGCAGTATGAGTAAGAAGCATTTCTGGCCCTCCTTTTCTTTGTAAAGATGTATTTCCAATAGAATAAATAAGCCTAAAAAAATAGAATTCTCCATACACTTCTTTTCAGAGTGGATTTCAAAGATTTAGACATCAAAGCAATACAACCCAAATTAGGTATCAGTATGCCAATCAAGCAAAGGGTTAATTAGCAACACTAGATACAGAATTGAAATGAATACACACCACATCACAGTTTGGAAATGATTGAGATTTTTATTTGTATATTCCAACAATCTAATTTTCTTAAGTGCCTAATTTTTATTAAAGTGCAATATTATTTGTGTGGGAAATGCAACAAATTTACATGTTTGAGTTCTGAGAATCATGCTTTTAGTTTCTTATAAGAACCATTTAGAACATGATGTGTTTAAATTTCAGATGTTTTGCATTTAAAAACAGTAGTGTTAAACTAATCAATATTATGTCAGAAGTCCCGCAGACTTTAAGGTATAACCACATAATCAGTACAAGTAATGATTTTGTCCTGAATTATATACATATTTGCATTAAGTGGTGTATAAGTGAAATAATTTCATCTTAATAACAGGTGTTTCTGGGAAATGAGTTTTAAAAAGACTGTTTTGTACAGCTTTTGGTACTTTGAAGTTGCAAATAAGGGGTAGTGAACCTGGATGCTACTTAAAAAGGAGAAACAAACACATAAAGCAAAAATGAGCTGTGTTCCTACTATAAGTGTAGTGAGGGTTAAAGTCAGACACTTAACCTAGCAGAGAAGTTATGCCTTGGGGCTATCGGAAGATTCACGAAAAAACTTCTCAGTTATTAATGTGAAGCTGTCAAGATTGATAAAACTTTTGACCAAAAGTGTTGCTAAGTATTTCTTTAGAAAATTATTTATTTTCATTGGAAAGGCAACTTTTTTACAGAAAAATGGAGGGACAGAATGATCTTCCATCTGCTGATTCACTCCCAAAATGGCCCCAGTGGGTCTGAGCCAGTCCAAAGCTAGGTGCAGTGTCCCAAGTTTTTGGACTGTATTCCACTGCTTTCCCAGGTCTCAATCAGGGAGCTGCTCCAGATGTGGAATATCCAGGATTTAAACCAACACCCATATGGGTTTCTGGCGCTTGGAGGTGAAGGATTGGCTTATTGAGCCATTGTGCCAGTCCCTAAGTGTTTAATACTAAATTAAATACTTAATACTGAAATACCAGACTTGAGCTGCTTCTTTTTTTTTAAGATTTTATTTTAGATTTATTTATTTTTATTGGAAAGGCAATTATACAGAGAGGAGGAGCAATAGAGAGGAAGACCTTCCATCTGATGATTCACTTCCCAACCAGCCGCAACAGCCGGTGCTGCGGCAGTCTGAATCCAGGAGCCAGGAGCTTTTTCTAGGTCTCCCACACTGGTGCAGGATCCCAAAACTTTGGGCCGTCCTCAACTGCTTTCCCAGGCCACATCATAGCTGGATGGGAAGATGGGCGTCTGGCATTAGAACTGGCGCCCATCTGGGATCCTGGCACATTCAAGGTAAGGACTTTAGCCACTAGGCTATCACACCAGGCCCGAGCTTCTTCTTAAAGGCCATCATTGTGGTGCAACAAATTGAGCTGCTCCACTTCCCATGCTGCTCTCGGCTGATGTCCCTGGAAGAGCAACAGAGGTTAACTCAGGTGCCTGGGCACCTGCAACGCATATGGGCGTCCCAGAGGAAACTCCTGGCTACTGACTCTTGACTTTGACCTGTCCCCAACCCATTATTGCTGTTTGGAGAGTGAATCAGCCGGTAGATGAACTCTCTTTGTCTTCCCTCTCTTTCTCTGTAACTCTGCCTTTCAAATACATAAATCTTAGAGAGAAAAAGAAAGAAAAGCATAAGAATCAAGTTTGTTTTGTCTTACTGTTTTTGGAGGTTCACAGTCTGCGATTCAGCAGCCCCTTAGTCTGGCTGAAAGTGTGTCAAGGAAGGATCACGTTACTTGCTAGGAAATAAACGGGATGCAAACTCTTCCTCTACCCTTCCTGTGGTCTCCTGAGAATGTTGCCAAGGGGCTGCACCCTTGCTCTGGAATCACTTACTAGAGCCTCCACCCTCAATCCATTACCAGTATAAAGCTTTGGTGTTTAAATGTCCGCTTAAGTTTGAGGAGCTAAATTCTGTTCAAATGTGACAGATTTGATGTGAACGCACTATTCATTGTGGCAGCATAAATATTGGGATCAGAGGAGGTGCTTAGTATCAAAGACATTTTAACAAATTGAGCTTAAAATCTAGTTACTGTTTATGTGTGACAGATGTTGCTATGGAAATAAGACCACCAGAGACTCCGTAGCCACTTGTGGAAAGGAAGTAACCTTTTTTCTAGAGAACATTGGCCAAGATCTCTCTCTCTGATGGCTGAACTCCAAGGTTCTTTTGCCAGTAAGCTTTTATAGGGTTAAATCACAGGGTTTTGCATGGTCAGGCAGGCAAGCATGCAAGGGAATGCAGAAGCAAAGACTCAGCTGTTAGCCATGAGCTGTCAAAACATTACTGCACAGTTCCTAGCACCTTCTAGTCTGCAGTATAAGCCGTCCTCTACGTGACCTACGTGCGAGCCTGTTTTTCACTGGGGCCTTTATGCAAGCCTACTTTTGCCCTTCAGGTGGTTGAGAAGCATCTTATCTAAATTTTAGAAGAGGTGCTTCCTGCACTGCGTACAGGGCGTTGGCTTCAAAAGCTAATATGGAACAAAGTTCTCTTACAGGGTTAAAACAGAGAGGACTTCCTCAAAATGGAGCTTACCCCCTTGATTAGAGTCCATTTCCCACAGGTAACAACAATATCCGCAGCTAGAAAAAAGGCAGGAAAATTACATTTTTGGAGAAATAATCAACCCAAGACCCCCTATTGATTTAACACAGAACTGGCAATTTGCAGAAACGGGTGATACATTTTCACCTCCAAAGTTTCAGTTTCACTTAATATTTTGTTTAGGTCATTTAGATTATGAATATTATATAATATCAAAATAATGTTTATATTTTTATTAATTTTCAAGATAACATTCAGTTTTCAGGAGCAGTAATAGATGTTTCACTAAAGAATTATAGTGGGAGTATTGAGAGAATTTAGATTTTATTCCTGGACTGTATAGTATTAAGTTTTTACATCAAGTAAGCTTTATAGAAATCTCAAGAATATTTGAATGTTCCTAGCAATGTAATAATCTCAGGAATTTCAGGATGTTAAAAAATGTGTGTTGGGAGACAAGTATGTATCTGAAATGCCGATGATACCTAATTGTTCCCTTCAGTGTCATGAAGACCCTGTATTGCATATGTCCTCATGTGTCCTTTCTTTTCTTGTAGGTCTCTTTTATTCAAAACCTTGTATTTTGTGTGGAAAGAGTTTACCGTGTCCCTGACTTCGGTGTATGGGAAAGAGGAAGCAAATATAATAACGGCAGTACAGAGCTACATTCCAGGTAATGTGCTGGTTTCTGGGTCCCTTTTTCTTTCTTTCTTTTTTTTTTAATTTTGTAAAGATTTATTTTCATTGGAAAGTCAGATATACAAAGAGGAAGATCTTCCATCCAGTGATTTACTCCCCAAACGACCACCACAGCCAGAGCTGAGTCACTCTGAAGCCAGGAGCCAGGAGCCTCTTGCGGATCTCTCACACAGGCACTGGGTCCCGAGGCTTTGGGCTAGCCCAAAGCTTTTCCAGGCCACACACAGGGAGCTTAATGGGAAGTGGGGCTTCAAGGATTAGAACCAGTGCCTGTATGGAATCCTGGCTGTTAGCTATTGCACTGGACCCTGGGGTTCCTTTTTGTTATTTAAAACATATGAAATTTCAATATGAACGAAAATCAAAGCATTAGATTGGAACTGTGTAATTTTTTTAACCATGTTAATTTTCTAACACCTACGACTTGGTGAATTCCACTTAAAATGAGAGTCTGGGAGTCCACTCACAGAGCCCTTTAATAAATGAAGACAAGTGAGAGGGCCCTTGCCCAATCTGCTGAGGTATTATGCATATCAGCAGCCCTTATCGTTAGTCTGCAGTTGGGTTTTTCTGCTTAACCATATCATTTTCTTTTTCCTCTTCAAAATTATATAATTTGAAATGTCAAGCACATTGGAAGTTTGAAACTCCAGTTGTATATGCGTTGCATGTAAAATTTCCTTCCCTGTTCTAGAGCTATTTTTATCCTAACCACAGATTCCTATATCCTTCAGTAACACAACATTCAGTATCGGCTGTAGACACTGTGCTCAACATCTTGAACTGTATCTTAGTGTGTTTGAAGAAACAGCAAGAGCTGATGACTGATACTGTTAAGGAATTTCCTTTAATCCTTACTTTTGAAGAAGTAACATTCTTGATTAATGGCATTTTTAATAAATCCTACTTTTATGCCTCGGAAGTCATGTTTTACATTGTAGCTCATCAGATACACATTTTGGGAAAAGACGTACTAAACGAATTGAAACAGGGCTTTGGCCCAGCAGTTAGGATGCTGCACGAGATGCGTGTGTTACTGCCTGAGTTTGAGTCCCAGTTCTGCCTTGGATTCCAGTTTCCTGCTGATATTCACCCTGGTAGGCAAAAGATGATGACTCAAGTGCTTGGCTCCCTGTTGCATACGTAAGAAACCCACTTAGCGTTCAGGGCTCCGAGCTTGGGCCCGACCTAATCTTGGTCTTGGTGCACATTTGGGGAGTAAAGCAGCAGAGTTCTGTATGCCTGTCTCTATTCTTGTCTGTCTGTATTATTTTCTCTCTCTTTCATATACAATGAGAGGAAGCAAGTCAATATTTTTTAAAATAAAGCAAATATCGTCACTGTAAGCTGGTTTGGGTTGTTGATAATTACATAAGATAGAAGGAATAATTTAGAACGTAATGGTTAAGTACCTGCAGCTGTATACTTTTTGAACAGGCAGACTAATCACATATAAAAAAATAAGCTGATATGATATATTTACTAAAGTAAAAATTGTTCCAGATCATTCACTGTATAACCAAAAGCAAGGTTTTGTAAACTTCCTGTGCCTCGGTTGAAGATCATAAGTTTCAAATTTTAAAGTTATTCCAATGGTTGAGTTAGTCTAGCTAAATGATGTAACTCTTTGGCCTTAGTAAGAACTAGAGTGCTAGAATGCTTGCACATTTAAAATAATTTTCCATTAACAAAGCCTGAAATTTTAAAGAAAAGTTTCGGATTAAACCTGATACTCCTACACCTTTCTCTTTAAGTATAATTTTTCTTAAAATAAGATTGACCATTTTTACAAAATAGAGCAAAACAGTAGCAACCAGTGAGGAAGTTAGAGTAACCTATGGAAGCTCAGTTCACACATTATACAAACTAAGAGATCGTAAAAATAGAAAGATAGTGTTTGTTAGATTCGCCGACCACCAGGGAAAGAATAATTCAGCCGAATATGTGAGAAGAATTGAGATGGCCTTTATTTCGGGGAACCACGTTCAGGGGCTTCCCTTCCCCATGTGGCAGACAGACAGACGTGAAGGAGTGGGCTGCATGGGAAGGAGAGCGCGGAGGAGACGGAGAAGGGGCCCTTTTAAACTCTCCTTGACACGGAAGCCGAAATGGGGGGCCTTATTGGTGGGGGGATGTGGGTCTGTGCCCCTCATTCTTGCAACGGTGGTCTCACCACCTGAGGGGCCCACCAGAATTCCGCCATCTGTCCTGGGTTTGGTTGGAGGTAAACTCTGCCCTCCTCTGGTTACCATGGTAACCATCAGTATTATATTTCTGACATCTTCCTAATCAAATTCGCAACATTCCAGGTATCAGTCAAATTATAAGAAAGTGAGTCTGATTAATTAGGCTGAGTTTTAAATGCTTTTGTTTTTTTGTTTTGTTTTTTGTTTGTTTGTTTGTTTTTTTGTTTTTACTTGTTTAGTTGTCATTTTCTGGTCTGTTCCTTATGTTTTACTACTCCCTACATGTGCAATGATCTGATTGCACTGCATTTAGGTTCAGATTAAATTTTTTGTGTTGTTAAAGACTGATTGATTTGTGGATTCATGAGCCCTTAGGGGTGTGGGATCCGATGGTGCTTGAATCGCCTGGCCTGGATCCTGGGATCTGCCTGCGAGGTGGGTGCTGGGTTTGTGAGCCCCTAGGGTTGGGGACCAGGTGGGGCTTGGTGTGCCTGGCCTGAGTCCTGGGGCCTGCCTGTGCGGAGGGTGCTGGTTTTCTGAGCCTCGGGGGTGAAGGATCCAGTGAGTTCCGGATGCCAGGCCCGGGTCCTGGGGCCCACTTTGGAGATTGGTGCTGGGTTCTTGAGCTCCGGGAGTGGAGGCTCCTGTGGGGCTCAGGTGGACTGGCCCTAATCCCTTGGCCCACCTGAGTGGTGGGTACTGGGTTCGTGAGCCCCAGGGACAGGAGTCTGGCAGGGCTTTGCTCGCCTGGCCTGGGTCCTGAGGTCCACATGTGAGGTGCATGCCAGGTGATCCCTGGAAGTGGGGATCCGGTGGGACTCAGATTGTCAGATCCTGTTTCACTGCCAGCGAGTAAAGAAGGTGTAGTAGTGGAAGCAGACCCTGCTGTAGTAGTGGAAGCAGACCCTGCTGCACATGGAGAGTATGGTAGCCCATTTGGTACCACAGCAAAGGAAGGACAGAGCAAATTGGACAGCTACCGGAGCAAACAATAACAGCAAAAATCTGGGAGATTTGAGCTCGACTATGTCAGCCAATGGACATTGAGAGTGTTGCCTCACCCTTGGATTGGAGAAAAAGACAGAATTTCAGAACTATCCAAACCGCTTGATCAGAACCCTCAGAACGTACACACTAACAGAGTGGGATCCAGGGTTGATATTGGGTGATGGGTCCCTATCCCTGGGTACTAGGGAACTTGGGGAGGCTGGATGTGGCTTCCCCCCCTCCTCCACAGAGAAGATGAAAAAGAGAATGAGGAAACTATGATTTCACCCACTTTTCCCTAACCTTCAATGCTTCCCACCCTGGTCAACCATGTAATCATCTTAAAAAAAAAATTGATTGATTTGAAAGTCATAGTTACAGAGACAGGGAGTGTGAAGCACACACACACACAGAAACAAACATAGCAGAGACAATCTTCCATCTGCTGATTTACTTCCCGAATGGCTGCAATGGCCAGGGCTGAGGCAAGCCTAAGGCAGAAGACAAGAGTTCATCTCTATCTCGCACGTAGTGGAAGGGGCCCAAATGATTGGGCCATCTTCTGCTGCTTTCCCAGACATTAGCAGGGAACTGAATGAGAAGTACAGCTTTAGGAAGCAAAGTCACATTCATATGATGCAGGAATTGCAAGCAGCGACTTTACCTGCTGTACCACAGTGCTGCTCCAAGAATGAACTACGTACACTAGAAGTTTCTCTGCTTCTTAAAAATGTGGTGAACTCAGAAAGAGCCTTGTGAGACTGTTGGGACATCCTAATTGAAAACAGAAGTTTTCTACTTGTTCTTATGTCCCTGAAGTACCAATCCTTAAATTGAATAAGGATTTTGTTTTAGGGCTGGAAAAATAATCATGTGAGATTCTTTGCTACTTTTTGCAAAATTAATCTTAATTGTACTAGGCCGGTTCTGTTCAAATGGCTGGGAAATGGCATTTGCCACTTAGTTTTGAATGATGGGTTTCCACTGATAATTATCTATGGCATAATATTTTACAACACCCATCAAGGACTTTAACTTTTTTTTCAAACGCTTCTTAGTCCAGGTCACCACAAGCCTGTTTGGGTATGTCATTTCTGGTGCCAATTGGATGTGTTTTGCAACAGCAGGAGAACTGTGCTCCATGGTGCCTAGGGACACAGTGATGACAGTGATGGGAAGGAGGCTGGTATTTTTCCATACTGAGGCCTGGGTAATGGAATGTGTAGCTGCTGCTGGGATCAAGTTATATAGCTTTTGGTCAATTGTTGCTATAGATTAGCTGTGAACTCTCTTGGCCTAATTGGAACTGTATTTTTTTTATACAATTAATGCAATATTCTCCTTATGTTGTTCTCAGTTTTGGACAGCTTAAATTAATATATATGGGTGCTTCTCAACTTGTCTTTGGCTTATGTCCTGATAAACCCATCACTGATTGAAAATGTGTCAAAACTGGATTTAGGGTCTGTCACTGTGGCCCAGCATATTAAACCACTGCCCACAACACTGATATACTCTCCATGCGCAGTAGTGTCTGCGTCCACATGCGAGGTGCATGCTGGGTTCGTGAACCCCGCAGGTAGGGGACCCAATGGGGCTTAGATGTCTGATCCTGGTCCTTGGACCTGCCCGCAAGTGGAAAAGGTGTAGCAAAAATCCAAGAGCCTTGATTTGTTTAATGCTTTGCTCAGATCCATGTTGATCTGCTTTGTTTGGACTTCAGATTTGCTGATATCCCTTCAGTACAACTTCCTGAATTGTTTGCTGTTTCTTAGATAAACTCCAGAAGCGTGGTTTTGTG